TTTTTTTGTAAAAGTTGGGAGCACTTGATACAATACGAAGTCTCTGCGAATTTTTGCTCACCCAAGTAAAGCGATTAGTTCATTAAGAAAGGTTATTTTATCTGGAATCAACGATGTTATCGTTTCCTATTTGATGCATGAAACACTTTGGATCAACTTTTACATTTTCTCACTTTGACCGAAGATTACACAAACAAAGGGTCAGTGTTTTTGCTATTTTTATTTTGGATCAACGAGACTTAAAACACTACATTCGCGCATGATTCACAACAAAAAAGCATATCAAAGCTTGTTTAGTGTGATATAAGCTGATATGATAGAAAACTACATGTGATAATAATGTCAGACCCCACGCTGAGGGAAAAAAAAAAAAAAAAAAAAAAAAAAAAGAGGAAGGGAGGAAAAAAAATACACCTACACTCGCAAAAAGAAGAAGAAGAAAACAGAGCCAAGAAAATGTTGTGAACATAAGTTTTATTAAATTATATACAAAAATATATATGAATATTTACAAAGAGAGAGTCGAGGCAAGGGCCGCCTAATTGCCCCAAAGGACATGAAAGACTTTGTCTCCGGCCCTCACCTTGGTTGGCAAGGACCGGTTTTTAAAAAAGTCCTTAGGACGGCGGCCATCATCTTGGGAGAGGCATTGCAAAGCAATACCAGCCTCGACTCTCTCGATCACATCTTGTTCCTGTGATGTCAATCTTGCTGGCACAGGTAAAGGAGGAGGGGCAGAAGCAGAAGGGCCAAAGAGAGGGACTATTTCAGCGGCAGCAGCTGATGTCTCTTGTTGACTGCTACCGTTGTTCACCGCCTCGGGGATGACCTGAAGCGATGGGCGAGAACCACCGCGACAGAAAGACTCGCGATGCAACCTCCTCCCAACTATTTTCGCGGTTGGAAGGGGCGCAAAGAAACCAAAAGAGCCATGGATGAACACACCGCTCTCCTTACCTCCAAAGCTTGGAATGACCATTGGTAAGAGAGCGGTTGGCATTGGGGAAGAGGAACCCGACCAGGAAAAAGCAGAGGAAGCGATTAAAGAGCAATCTTCTTCCTCGTCGCCGTTCAACAGACTTGATACTGACATGCAGTGGCGACGACGACGAGAAAGGACGGAAGGAGAAGCACAAGAAGAAGGAGAAGCAGCGCGAGAAGAAGAGGCAGGATAAGAGCTACCAGAGAAAGCACAAGAAGCGCGAGCGCGAACTACACCACCAGCTGCACGGCAAGCAGCGCCAGCGTCTGCAGAGGAAACAAGATGATCATGCCCATCAGAAGCGGAAGGACAAGAGGCAGAAGACAAAGAACGATCTCTTTGTCGTGCTGAACGACGGGGAGAAGAGGACTTTTGATAAGGGCTAAAGCCCTTTGCGTTTCTTGAAATGCACGAGCGTGCAAGGCGGGAACGCGAACCGGGAGGAGCAGGAGTAGGAGCAGGAGCAAAAACGGAAGCAGAAGAAGCAGCGGAAGAAGAGGTGTTTGCCTTTGTACGGCGACCTCTTACGCCAGAGGTAGAAGAAGAAACTCTACCACGAGAAGGACGTGAAGAGCGAGAGGAACGGGAGGCAAAGCCAGAAGAAATCTGAGAGTTCCCAGGAGTAAGATCAGAGCCTACTCTTAAGCTTCCAAAGTCAGGATGGCCAGGAGGGTAGCAGTCATTAGGGAACGATTTCCCAAAAACAGGAACCAGATCAAACCTGAGAGCCCAGGCGTTGTTCACGCAAAGTGCCCTTGCACTTTCGAAAGGCATCCTAAATAAAATAAAAGAAGCATCGGTAAAAAAAACAAAGCTACGATTCATCCATGGTCTTACCAAGTACCTTGGATGGTGAGGCAGCCGCCTCTAACCTTCTTCACCTGAAGATCAGGGTTTCCATCGACGATTTTCACGATGTCTGCCTTGCTGTTACCCAACGCCTTCCATATTCCAGTGAAATGGACATACCCATTTTCACTATCCCAGAGGATAGGATGGCCATTTATTTCAAACTGAAAGACTGTTAAAAAATCAAACAAATGTTAGCTACAGTTGAGCTAGAATACTTTCTATATACCTGGTATGGCGCCTCTGGAATCTTGTGAGGTCGCATATTTGGCAGACTTGATGGCCTGTTGAAGGCGAGGTGAGGAAGGAGAATATGGTTGATATTTCGATGTTGATTTTTGTTGTTGAATTTTCATGATAAAATTGTATTGACGAAGATAAGTTGTAGATATATCTCGTATTAGGTTGAATAAATTGAGTGAATTAAATAAATGTATAAATTGATGGATATATGTTGTGGTGGATATAAATATGGTGATCGCTGAGGATATAAATTGAATGAATGAAAGCAGTATATATGCTGTAAGATATACGCTTGAATGAATCACTAGGATTTTCGTTGAGTGGTGAATGAAGCTTGAGCTTTGAATATATAAAAATTGAATAAAAAGATATAATAATCGCTGTGGAAATAGGCTTTAAAAGCAAAATATAAAAAAAAGAGTAAAATGAAGAAAAGGTGAAAGAAAAAAGGTTGAAAAAGGCCTTTATTTATAAAATGCAAATCGTTACATCTATAATTGTTTTCGGAGGCGCACCGAAATAAACAAAATAATAAAAGGGGTAAAGCTGTTAAGGGGGGGGACAAGATCCACCAAGGGAATACAAGCAAACTTTGAATAAAAGAGCTAAAAATGTTTAATTAACTCTTTTTTTAGTAAAAGTGTGTTACTTGCCCACTATATGAAAAAGAAGTGGTATCCGCATGAGATAAGGTGTGTTCTGATTTCCATTAAAGGTTAAAGAAAGTTCAGCCTCCCGCCCAAGCCTTTTTTTTTTAACTTTTACACGGAAGCTCACTCTGTCTTACCTGCCTAAAATGAAAATTGCCAACCTACCCCCACTCGTCATATCTCGTAGTACCTGATATCGTTGCAGACACATTGGTCATTTCAAACTGCTACTCCATAAAACGCGTGTGGTTGATAGTGACAAACGGTTACTATGGAAACTCTAAAACGTCTCCAAACAGAAAGAAGAGACAATAAACACACAGAAATCAGTTCCCATCGTTTCTTAGTATGCTTATCAGTTGACTTTGTGTGACAATAACTTACAAAATGATGATTTTTTTTATTATGATTTAAAGGAATAGTTAAGGTTTGGTAATATTGAACTTGGCTGTAAAAGTGTCAACGTATTTTTCATCACCAATGTATGTTTCCTTGAAGGAAGGTCTTTCAGTAATACCCTTAATGAATTCAGCTAATCTAGGATACTTCTTGACTGCCTCCCATTCATATCCATTCAAGAATAGCCTGTGGAATCCGAGAATACGAGCAAGGAGGGGTGCAACTGCGATATCAGCTATAGAATATTCATTACCAAGGAAGTAGGGGCCTGTAGGAGATTGTTGAACCAAGAGTTCGTTGATCTATAATATAAGAAGTTATTTTTTTTTCCTGAAAACACAAAGCATATACACAGTCACTTGTTGCACAACTTACACGATCCAAGGCAGGATTGACGTTCTTTTCGTAATCAGCAAAGGCATTTTCTGCTTTGATATTGAAAACGTATTTGAAAAATTCGCTTTGTACTTTAGAAGAATAATATTCAATAAAGTAACGAACATATGCGCGCTTCAATGGATCTTTAGGTAAAAGGCTATCATCACATGCATAAATAAGAAAAACACCGCATTTGTTTTCTGTACCAACTTACTTTTTCTCAGGAAAACGATCGTTAAGATATTCGACAAGTACCAAAGATTCAGCAATGTGCTTGTCACCCACTGTAAATGCAGGTACTTTTAACTCGGGATTGATGTTCTTGTACCTAATGAACATCAAACATGAGCCAAGATGAGTAATGTAGATGTCATTCTTTTTACCAATCAGGCTTATTTGACAAGTCAATCTCGACTGTTTCATAATCAGCGCCAACTTCTCTTAAAGTAATAGCGGCACGTTGAGCGTAAGGACAAATGGCAGCGTTATAGAAAGTGATTTTATCTGTGTACTTTGTTTAGTTTACAAAAAAGATAGGCTCTTAATATTGCCTTTTTTTATATATCTTTACCAGAAGACATTGTTTATTGTTACTATTATTATTACTATACAAGAGGGATTCCAAGAAAGAAAGAAAAAGAGGGTCGCTGTCTTTTTTTTTATATTATCTGATTATTAATGCTTATCGAATTACTAATGTTTGACTTCAAATCATCGCTGTTGTCGGCTGTATGACTCTTAGGTCATTCTTTTTAGCAATGGCGATATTACTGATAGTATAAGCTTATCCTCGGTAATCAAGTACAAGTTCTTTTCTTTTTTCGAGATGTTAGTATATTAATGTACACAAAGAGAGAAAAAGGAGGAGTAAATAGACTTTGGATCTTTGGGAAATACACAAACAAATAAAGAAGTTTACTCTTTTTCTTTCCTATCTTCTTGTCCTTTGTTTAATGCCTCATCGAAATATCTCGAGAAATAGGCCGAGAAAATGATAATTGATGACCCCACAGTCTATTGCTTCGTCAAGATCCTAGTAAAATACTAAGATGCAGATCCTTTTTTTTTTTCTTTTTTTCTTTTCTGTCTATTCTCGAAGCAGTTGAAGAATGCAGCATAGACTCACAGAGGGTAAATTGATAATGTGATGAAAGCCCCAAAACAAAGCATAGCCTCCTATTCTTTTATTATTACTAATGCATAATTCAATTTAACCATAAACACTGCTTGTACCAGCTGCATATATATTTTCAAGCAACCCCCGAGAAAAGGTGATGATTAAAAAAGAAGCGTATTTTATGACTATTGCCTTTATAATTTCGGTTAATTTACGGGCAAATGGTTATTTTACCTTGTTTATAATGGATGATCACTTTTTTGAACGAGTTGAATGCTTCATAAGCTCGCATTTTCGAAATGAACAAAAAAAGACCTGAAAGAACTTGTTTGGTTAGTATGCATAACACTCTGCATACAGAAAAATAATGCCTTTTAAGGTAAAGATGACATGTAGTATACACTGGAGTTGATCCTGCATACAAAGAGAAGGGGGTGAGAGTTTCGTCTACCATGACTAAAACAGGCTCAACAAGAGAACACACTCACCTTCATGCCTTTTTAGTAAAGGCACGGACCTATTTTTCCTAATTTATA